TGTACGAAACACGAACTCCTGAAGACCGAACCCAGTACCGTTACGATTTTAATCGTGCAGGAAATATCCTCAAAATGTATCTTGGAAAGACGTCTTTCCAAGATAACGTATCTTGGAATTCTGTCTTTCCAACATAATTTATCTTGGAATTCCGTCTTTCCAAGATACGGTATCTTGAAATTCCGTCCTTCCAAGATACGTTATCTTTGAATTCCGTCTTTCTAAGATACTTATCTTGGAATTCCGTCTTTCCAAGATCAATTATCTTGGAATTCCGTCTTTCCAAGAAACGTTATCTTGGAATTCCGTCTTTCCAAAATACGTTATCTCGGAAAGACGTCTTCCCGAGACAAATTATCTCGGAAAGACGTCTTAATAAGTGTTTATTCCATGTTTCCAAGATAATTATCTTGGAAACTCGGAAACTCGGAAGGTCACTTTAAGCTTCCGTACGTACATCATCACACACACAAAGTTGTCCACAACCTCCTAGCAACACTGCACCACCCGAACCAGAGTACTTCAGGTTGTAAATTTATAAAAGCATGAGATGACTAAAAAAGGCCTGAACCGATTTGTTGGCACTTGTTTTCATGAAGAAATTTAATCATGAATTTTACTTAATATTAGTTTAGCTTAGATGTCTTTCAAGTTATATATAAACCTTGATGGTGAAAAGAAAAAGAAAGCAACTATCTACAGTATTTATAGCTGTTAGTATATTTTATTATAGACAACAAAAAAAATCTTATCCAAAGAACTGTAAGAAGAAAAGAGGTTTTTATATTTTATACATAAATATATTTATTTTTATTTTGAAAAACAATTACCTCACTCAAATGCAATATTGACGATTTTTTTTTCAAATATTAAATGTGCTTAAGAATACAAAGAACAAATCACATTTCCTTCATTACCTTGGGTGTTATAAGTAGCATTTAGTTAAAGTCAATTACTGTTCAACTTAAAAAGAATACCACAGTATTTTGTTATGCGAAGTTAAATTTAAAACATTTCAAAATAATAGACCATATTACTAAACAATTAAATAATAACCACAAGTTACAATGTAATATATCTATTAAAGTAGATACTTCAAACAATATATAACTTCCATGAAAATGTAATATTCATCTAAAAATAAAGTAATTGGTTCCTATTTTGCTGTCGCAATTTCAGGTGTTTCTTCTATGTACAGTGTAGATTTATGTGAACATAAGTTGCCAATGGTGCTTCAGTAGGTTCAACTTTTTATTGCGCTATTAGTGTTTTGTATTCAAAGCTAATTTAAAAATTTTGTAATATACCATCTAACTAAACAATAAAATATTAACAATTACAAGTTACAATAGCTTATATCTATGTTTATTTTGTAGTTCAGAACAGATAATTTAAACAATATACAACTTCCATGAAAATGCAATATTTACTTAAAAATAAAGTAATTTGTTCATGTTTTGCTGTCACAGTTTCAGGTATTTTTTTTAAAGGGAGATTCAATGTACGGATTTTAGTTTTATGTAAATGTAAATTGTCAATGGTGCTTCAGTAGGTTTAGCAAAATATACTGTATTAAACATTTTACTACAAATTTTATGTACATTAAGATTTTTTTTTTTAGTTTTGTATTTTCCTAACAGTCCTGCTCTTGCTTGTAGGCCTATAACTGCCAAACATTTTTTGATACAGCATAGGCTCCCTATTGCTTTTTAGCACTCTGCAATATACTGTTGTAATAAATAACAAAAATAATGGCCCCACGATGTCGCTGCCAATGCCATCTTCGAGTAGAGATAAAAACCCTACCGCTTATATTTCCACAAGAATATTTGATGATTAATAATTATATCTGATTTAAAGTGAGAATCTTGGCATATTGTTAAATAACTTGAATCCGGTTTATTTGTTTATTGGCAAGAAATCAAATTTGGATAGCATAGCAGCTAGCTAGAGAAAGCAGTGCAAATTGAAATGGTGAAAACCAAAACATTGTATACTGTTCGGGCTACTAAGGTTGTGTGTTACTGTAAATTGTTTACTAATGCATTTCTAATCCCCAAAGCATCTGGCAGTGGAATGTCTTGTGCTACCTCATCTTCAATATCTTCAGGAAACTGGTTGAGTATCACATCATAATCATCATTCTGCTCAATACAAAAGTTGTGCAGAACACAGCAGGTGTTGACTATCATCAGTATTTTGGAAATATGGGAATCATTTCTACGCATCAGTATGCGCCATCTACCTTTTAAATTCCCAAACGCTTGTTCAACTACCATTCTCGCCTTGCTGAGCTTGTAGTTAAATACCAGGTGTCTCCTGTCCACATTGCCACGTTGTGAAAACCGCTTCATGAGCCACGGGAGTAACGTGTAGGCAGGATCTCCAATAATGAAGATGGGGACATCAGTTCCTCCCATTTGTACAGTTGACTGCAAAGAAAGACAATATAGAAAAATATAATGTAGTTTTTTTTCTTGAGGACTGCTTTAATATTTTGTGCCATTGCCTTTAAAGCATTTGTTTCGGTATGATTGTTTTTAAATGTTATTAAAAATAGTTGAGACAAGCCCTGAATTCTTGTCCTAAAACATTTACTGTTAATATTTTTTTCTTAAATATTACATGGGGAGTTTAGATGGTTGTATAATGTTGTATATGAATCTAGTGCTATTAATGTGTAAGTTTTATTAACTGGATCGTGGTTCAAATTTACCCTAGGAAATAACCGTCCACTTTCACCTCTTTCAAAGAGTGAAGAATTTCTGAAAACCATGGCGTCGTGCACTTTTCCCGGCCAGCCAACATTTGTATCCGTAAACCTGAAATAAATATTTTTTCACGGAAATAATTTAGGGAGTGAGTATTCACTCTCCAAGCCTCATCAAAACGACTATCCACCCGACAGGTGGATAGATGTTTTCTTCACCCAATGGACAGCCCAATAGCCTTTGCTAATAAATTAACAGTCATATGATGTATGTATTAATTAATAGTGCATCAGAAATGGAAACTAACTTTAGTTTATGGTCGACAACTGCCTGAATTATTACAGAATACGATCCTTTGCAGTTGTAATAATCGCTTGAAGAGAAATGTGGTACTTTAATTGGAATAAGAGATCCATCAATTGCACCAGCACATTGTGGGAATCCATGGATCTCATTGAAGCCTGCCACAGTTGCTCTTAAGCGATCAACTGTTGGCCAAACAATGTAGTCGTTAAACATGTTGTCGATGATGGCTTGACAAACTTGCTGAATACTCCTGCATACAGTCGACATGTGTACGCCAAACAAATTTCCAATACTACGGAGTTCGCAGCAAGTTGCCAACCTCCACAGGGTCATACCAACCACTTGTTCAACTGTCATGCCATTTCCAAAGTTCGTAACCCGACGTTGAAGGTTAGGTCGCAGTATGTTGCAGAGTATGGTAAAAGTGTCTGAAAATAAATTTTTTTAAACATCAAACAATGCCATAATTAAAAATACAATCTTTGGTACTCTTACAAGAGTCAAAAAATTGTGTAGTACTGCTTGGGTATGTGTGTATTACAAAAAGGCATGCACTTCTAAAAATATATTTAAGGATATGTATCTCATTTGGATCATGCATTGATGAATTTGCATGATATACACTTGTATTATTTACCCATATGTAGGCCAAGATATATTTATTAAATCACAGATACTATACCCAACAATATCTGTTATTAAATACACATGTATTTATGTTAAAAAAAGAAAAAGGAAGGCAGCCTGAAGTACTTTCTTTATTAAATTAGTAATGTATAGGAGTTTGCATTAACAACTTGATTGAAAAACTAAATCATGGTACTTGTAGTCGTACCCTACTAGTCGTAGGGCCTAGCTACTTTTGTTGCACACGGAACAGTGGATACCCGGAACAGTGGATACCCGGGACAGGTTCGCCTAGGCCTTGCTTGCCGTGTGTTTTTGTTTTGTGTTTTTACCTCTTGACATGCGGAAATTTTCTTTCCATAACTGATCTGTATACCGCTGACATACAGTCTCATTCCACCAGTCAAAAGAAACGAGGGGGTACGTCGTCCTCCTCAACCGGTCATATCCCCTCCTCGTCTAGGTAGCTCTATCGTCGTCGATGTGGTGTTAACCGTGCCCAGTACCATTGCTAGGGTTGTCAGCAATCGCCTTCTTCGCCTTTGCAAAATCCACATAAACTTTCGATATCTTGGCGGTTCGGAATAATGGACCGAACAGTTGCCATGCCGACGACTATTTGCTAGCATCGACAAAATTACCGATACTAAAATAATATTTTTTAGCTGTATCGCTAGCATCTTCGCGCAGTTACGGTAGAGTTGTTGTTGATAGTATCGTCAAAGGTCAATTCAAACTTCCGCTTCGCGAATGGCCTTTTGGGTAACAATGACGAAATTCCGTCGTGTTTTTGACTAGAATAAGCTCAGATCGGCAGTAGAAATGGGGTTAGGATTTCGGTACCGGTATTGTACAGGTATTTTGAATACCTGTATTATTCCTGTATTTTTGGGATTTGCAGCAGAAACATGCCCATTGATACTACATTACATCCCCTTCAATTAATTTTTTTTAACATCATAACATAAAGGTAAAATGTACTACCAATGTGTAGTAGGCATGTAAAGCAATATGTGTTCTTATAATTAATAATTCTCTCTAGCTAAGTTTTAATAAGCCTGGTTTATAATATCAATAATAAATAAGACAGTTATGGGTAGGTCTAAATGTACCTACAGACAGAGTAAAGCTGACGACACTATAGGGCGCCTAGCTAGTGCTAAACACGGAGTCAGCAGTGCAAAACTGAGAGTCACAGTGCAAAACATTGGTGGCAATGCAAAACTCCAATGGCAGTGCAACTCAAGTGGACGCCCTCTATTTTGAATTAAAGTTTCACAGCTTTTTTGGACGGTGTCAACAAGTAAAATGGATAAAATTTTGAGGTCACTTGGGCACTCCTTAGTGACCATTGACAATTTTGAAAGGGGGGGGGTGCGTATAAGCGTTACAATTAATACAAAAATTAAGTGTTTGAAATAATTAATAAACAGTGGGCTATGGAGAAGGCTAGTAGTAGGTACGTGTGCCCGGGCTTGTCAAAAAACAAGGCCTAATAAGTCTAGATATACACCTAAATGCCTCGACTTCGTCGGCTTTTCAAGAAACATTGTTTTCCTAAATATATCTCACTTAACTCTCAAAATTTTCTGCTTTTTTTTTGTCATTTCTGTTGTCTTTTTTGATCCCCAATTGGTTATCTTTTTTTAAACAAAATATTTTGATTGCGCCTTGTATGTATTCCTTGGCAAAAGGCGAGGTACAAGTTCCTGTATTATTAACTGGGCCAGGCTTCCTAGGCTTTAGGACGTAGACCTAGGCTAGGCCTGGAATCCGCCGCTGAAATTATAATGCTCGAACAAATTCTCTGAAATATTCTGTGTTTCATTTGTTTCCTCGCGCTTGGGAGGAACTACCCGTAGAAACTAGGGATTTATTGGTTTTGAATCTTAAAGCATTTTTAAACGATCTTAAATTACATTTTAAATAAGTTTTACAATTTCTATATATATATATATTTATTGTTAAGGCAAA